GTATTTGACTATGTATTCTCCACAATATTAAGCACGTCAACAATTTCTCCTTATATTCACTTAGTATTACTATGTCATGCACATTCTTACCCTTTTTAATACACTTTTATGTTAACTTACTCAGACTACTACTTAAGTGCACTTTTATTGTTTTTTCACAAACTTACCAAAATAGTGCACTTTTCATACTAACAAATCACTTTAAACATACTGCACATTAAACAAATCACCAAAATTGTCCACTTTCTCCCTATATACACTTACTATCACTAGTCATACACATTTTGTCTCATTCAATGAACATTTTTATAATTACATGCTCTAATTCAGTTTTAAGCTAACTCACTCACAATACTACTTCAATGCTTTCTAGTCAATCATAATCACAAATCAATTCTTTTCGAACGTAAATGGTATGTATTTCACCATCTCTTCTACAAAATATTAAGCACCTAAGCACATTGTCCTTATGTGCACTTACTATTACTATGTCATGCACATTCTTACATTCTCTAATACACTTTTATGTTAAATCACCCAAACTACTACTTGAATGCACTTTTCCGTGTTGTTTTTTCTCATATTGACCAAAATACTGCATTTGTCTAACTAACAAATCACTTTAAACATGTTGCACAATAAACAAATCATCAAAATGGTCCACTTTCTCCTTATATGCACTTACTTTTACTAGTCATGCACATTCTGACCTTCTGTAATTCTCTATTATGTTAAGTCACTAGCACTGCTACTTCAATGCACTTTTCCCTATTGTTTGTTCACAAATTTACCAAAAAATTGAACTTTTCACGTTTTCACAAAAATTATATTGTAAAAGTTACTACGTATTAAACAAATCACCAAACTGATCTACTTTCTTTTTATATGCACTTACTATCACTAATTGATGCACACTCTTACCTTATATAATTCACTTTTCTTGTTTTCTGATAGCTCACTAACAATACTACTTCAATGCACTTTTCCTCTTTCCCCACCACAAATTTGCCAATATGCTGCATTTTTCACTATTAAGCAAAATTCCTTTTTTTTTCTTATATGCACTTAGTATTACTAATTGATGCACACTCTTACCTTATATAATTTACTTTTCTGATAATTCACTCGCACTGCTACTTCAATGCACTTTCCCCCCTTTCCCCCACATTTTTTTCCCCAGACCGACACAATGGGTGCACAACAACATCTTCCACCCAGGTTTTCTCTTTTTTCGTTAAACGAGGAAACATTTTGTTGAAAATTGGATGCACAAAACCCTTTGACCGATAAATGGATGCACTTTTCTCTTTATTCAACCTCTACTCAACTAAACATACAATACTTTGTCCAAAAATTAATCGATGAGGTTAAACCAGGGGTTCCGTGTATTACCTTTTTTTTTTCGCAAAAAAAGATTTTTATTCATAAAGGATGATGGGTTTACAAGTCCAAAGGGATTGAATCGAAAAGGCCCAAAGAGTTCATCAAATTTTTGTATGGGCTGAAGAAAAGAACAACATGCGGACAAACAGATGGAATAATTTCACTGTAGCCAACATAATAAGTCAAGGAATTGGTGTGTCGCCCTAACTCTCGAGTCATTTGCCAACCTCGAGAGAGAGAGGATGTTTTGAAGAAGTTTCCGGTGCTTTGTCGTTGATCCAGATGGTAGAGAAGGAATGAGATCGAAGTTTGTTTGTGCGAGAGAGCGGGGGTTGACGACGCTCATCCAGTATCCCGGAATGGAATAGCTCCTCCAGATCCTTGCCCATCCGTGTATTACCTTTTGTTGCAATATTAATGCTTCTTGATGCAACATCGTTTGTCCGTTTCATTGTTATTCTTGGGTTCCTAGGGTTTCGGCGATGGCTGATATCTTCTTCACTGCTTTGATTGAGCCCTGTTCTGAATATAAATCTTCTCACAAGGTAGTTCTCTGTTTTGAATCATAGCGGCACAATTAGCGGGATTTTCTTGCCATATGTGTATCGGTGCATCCAGACCGCCATAGGAGTCTTTTACCCATATACCCTTTGAATCTCTTTTCAATGCATTCTTAACAATTCCGAATTCAGCACGCACGAGTCATGTGACTATTTTTATCTCGGAAAGTACTTATGGGAGCCGCACGATTGAAATGATGGATGACCCAATTTCATTCTTATTTCTCTCCTAAGGATCCTTTCTCACCGGAACCGTTCCCTATACACACACACACACACACACACACACACACACACACATTCAAACGGTACCATTTCAAATGGTACGGTTTTGGTATGTATTAGTGTTTACAGAATGAAGAAAGGAAGAAATCGTTTATTCATCTCATAGTTCTGCAATTACATTTGGGGTAGTATTTATACAATACAAAAGAAGAAAGAAAGCTTAACCGAATTAAAACAGATTCCAGCTAAGCTAACTAATTCTAAAATTAACAAAGTATTGTTATTATCTCTAATACCCCTTCTCAAGATGGGCCATGAACATTTTGAAGACTCAGCTTGGATATAGCATGAATAAAGGACTTTGGATATAATGATTTTGTGAAAACATCAGGAAGCTGGTTTGCTGAAAGAACATGGAGGAGATGCAACAGTCCTTGTTGAAGCTTGATGCATGTAGTGTGACAATCTACTTCAATATGCTTTGTCCTTTCATGAAAAATAAGATTCTTTGCTAGATACTTGATCCATTGAAGTTCACATGTTAAAGAAGCAAGAGCCCTATATTCTGCTTCAGAAGATGATTTTGATACTGTGGTTTGTTTCTTTGATTTCCAAGAAACAAGAGATTTTCCAAGAAATATGCAAAATCCAGTAATTGATTTTCGTGTTATAGGACAAGTGGCCCAATCTGAGTCTGAAAAAGCTTTGATTTGGAGGGAATTTTCTGAGAGCTAAAAGAGACCAAGACCTGGAGCATTTTTCAAATATTTAACCACCCTCAAAGCAGCTTGCATATGAGGTTCTCTGGGCTCAGCTACAAACTGACTTAACTGTTGGACTGAAAAGCTAATATCTGGCCGGGTATAAATGTCCAATCAATTTTCTGAAGATGGTGGGATCAGTGAGTAAGTCACCTTGATCTGCATGGAGTTTGATGTTGGGATCTGCAGGAGTAGTGGCAGGTTTGGATGCAAGTAATCCAGCTTCATTGATTAATTTCAAGCAGTATTTTCTTTGATTAAGGACAATCCCCTTCTTAGATCTAGCCATCTCAAGTCCTAAGAAAAATCTTAATGGACTAAGATCCTTAATATTAAAGGCTTGATCTAGATACTGTTTAACATCCTGAATTTCTTTGAAATTGTTTCCACTTAAAACAATATCATCAACATAGACAAGCGATATGGTGATGAAATTGTCTTGAGTTTTAATAAAGAGAGAAGGGTCTGCAGAGCTTTGATTATACTCTAAGTGAATCAATGCTGAGTTTAACTTCGGATTCCAGTTTCTACTGGCTTGCTTCAATCCATAAAGTGACTTTTCCAACTTACAAACAAGTCCAGGTAAAGACCTTGAGGAGGCACCATGTAAACATCTTCAGCTAAATCCCCATGTAAAAAGGCATTATCTACATCAAGTTGGTGTAAAAACCAATTGTTTGTAGATGCTAAAGCAAGTAGAAATCTCACAGTGGTAAGCTTGGCAACTGGGGAAAATGTTTCAAAGTAATCCAGACCCTCGGTTTGAGTGAAACCTTTTGCTACAAGTCTAGCTTTGTATCTATCAATACTACCATCTGCTTTGTGTTTAATTCTGTAAACCCACTTGCACCCAACAACTTTCTTGCCAGGAGGAAGAGAAACCATTGACCAAGTATTGTTTCTAGCTAAAGCATCAAGCTCAATCATCATGACTTGTTTCCAACAGTCTTGTTTCATTGCTTCTTTGAAATTGGAGGGCTCAATGGAAGATGTGATTGAATGGCAAAAGGCAGTGTAGTTAGAAGAGCATTTATCATATGACATGTAAGAATGCAAGGGATAAAGGATGATGTTCTTTGAAGAAGAAAGATTATAGCAATGATATTGGTTTAAGTAATTTGGTTTGGATTTTTGTCTTGTGGAAGTTCTGATTGGAGCAATATTATCTGTGACTTGTTATGTTTCATTGCTTGATTCATGATGAGATGAGATGTGATTTTGAGTGTTTGATTGGGTAAGGATGGAAATAGAATGTATGGGAGAGGTGTCATGAAACATGTAATCATGATGAGTTTCAGAAGAATTATCATCATGATCAGAATTTTCTTTATGAAACTCAATGTAAGGATAAACAGATTCATGAAAGTTGATATTTCTAGAGATGATGAAGGATCTGGTATGCGGGCTATAAAGTACATATCCTTTGATTCCATATTTGAAACCAAGGAATATGCATTTAGAAGCTCTAGGGTCAAGTTTTGATCTGTTTGAAGTGAGAGTATAGGCATATGCAAGGCAACCAAAAACTTTAATTTTAAATGATTCAGATCTGGTTTTTTATTATGAATCATTTCAAAGGGATATTTTTGTTGAAGAAATCTGGTATGAATTCTGATGATTATGTGAACAGCATATTTGAGAGCATAGGACCAGAAGGTTTTTGGAATTTTAGATTGGAAAAGATGAGCTCTACAAACGTTTAAAAGATGTTGATTTTTTTCTTTCAACAATGTCATTTTGTTGAGGGGTTTCAACACAAGAAGTTTCATGAAGTATTCCTTTACTATTAAAGAAATCAGTAAGAATAAATTCTTTTCCATTGTGAGATCTCAATCTTTTTAGTTTGCAATTGTACTGATTTTCAGTAATAGTAATGAATGATTGTAACAGCTGTCTGACTTCATGTTTGGATTTGAGGAGATGAATCCAAGTAAAACGACTATAATCATCAACTATAGTTAGAAAGTATTTATACCCTTCTATTGAGGAAACTGAAAGAGGACCCCATGTATCAGTGTGAGATTTGCTTATACTGTTTGAAAAAGGAAGTTTCTTTTGTTTAACAAAGGAACATACATCACAAGCATGGATTTTATGAAACTTTATTGAAATATATTGGGAAGACAAGGTTTCAAGAACTTTATTTGAAGGATGCCCTAATTTGGCATGCCAAACACTACCATAATCTGAAATTCTACTGTTCTCAACTAAGACAGAATTACAAGAGTCATTTGTAACAGAATTAACAAAGAAATCATCATGTAGAAAAAGCTGAAACAAGCCACCAATCTATTTAGCTGCTCCAATCATCTTCAAGGTAGTTTTCTGCAAAATCATACATTTTGATTCACAGAAAATGACAATGCAGTTTAAGTATGAGGTGAGTTTGGGAATAAAGATTAAATGTACTGAAAAATCAGGTACATATAGAACATTATAGAGAGTCAAATGTCCAAGAATAATGGTGCCATAATGATATGTAAAAACAACTTGTTTATTTGGTAGTTTAACAGGAATAGGTGTGATAGGTTGTAAGAAGGAAAAACTACCTTTTGAAGGACAAATATGATCAGTGGAACCACTGTCAAGAATCCAAGAATTTTGATATGAGTTGGTACGTGATTCTTTCAGATTGGTATGTGCAGAGTTGATAGACGAAGAATGGTTCTGAGGTTGTTGGATTAAAGCCAGTAATGCCTGATATTGGTGCTTAGAGAAACTATAATTTGTCTCAGGTTTCAATTCCTCCTGTCCAGAATTGTTAAGTTGCAGATCATTCATAGAATCAGTTGTGTTGACAGAAGATGCAGATGATGTTTTTCCATTGGTCGTATATCCAGGTGGGAATCCATAGATATGGAAGCAAGCATCAACAGTGTGATTAGTTTTCTTGCATTTGGTTCAATATTTGTTGTTTCTTCCACCATTATTTCCTCGTCCTGAGCGTCCACCACCACGCGAATTGGAAAATCATCATCTACCAGTTTGGTTATGATTGGAGTCATTGGTAAAGGTAGCAAGGGCTGCAGTTTCTTGAGGATTAGCCATATTTTGATTTCCAAACTCACGTTCTTGTTGAAGAACAAGTGAGAAAGTCTTGGTCAACTTAGGCAAAGGATCATTAAGCATTATCTGAGATCTTACTTGAGCAAACTCATCATTTAAACCTCTCAGAAATTTGATAATACAATCATCATCGCGCTCTTTTTGTATTTTAGCAAGAATACCACATGAGCATGTTTCAGAACAAGAGCATTTCAACACAACTTTGTACACAGTCAATTCCTTCCATATAATCTGCAATTGTGTGTAATATTCAGATACAGTCAGATTACCTTGCTTACAGTTCTGCAAATACTCCTGTAAATCAGCAATTCTGAATTTGTTTCCATGTGAAAAGCGACTACAAAGGTCTTTCCAAACTTCCGAAGCAAAGTCAATCCACATCACAGATTGTCGTATTGAAGAAGTCATAGAGGGAGTAAGCCATGACATTACCATTTTGTTGCATCTTCTCCATGCTTCGTATGTTGAATCAGTGATACTTGGACAAGGAATAGTTCCAAGGACAAATTTATCCTTGTTCTTCGTTTCTAGGGCTACAAGTATGTCATATTTCCATTGTTGGAAATCGTTTTCTGATAGAAGTGGTGTAACGAGGATTAAAGCTGGATTTTCAACAGGATGAAGAAATAAAGGATTTGATGGATTGATGAGATGATCTGGAAGGTTTGATTGATCAGAATTCGGCATGGTTCTGATCGAAAAGCTGAGATGAATCGCGGTGTTTTGGTTGTTAGAAGATGAAGCGGAAGATAAGCTCTGATACCATATTAGTGTTTACAGAATGAAGAAAGGAAGAAATCGTTTATTCATCTCATTGTTCTATAATTGCATTTGGGGTAGTATTTATACAATACAAAAAGAAAGCTTAACCGAATTACAACAGATTCCAGCTAAGCTAACTAATTCTAAAATTAACAAAGTATTGTTATTATCTGTAATAGTACGAGACAAAAATCTATAGATCCGTTTAAATATCCGATAATCGATTTGGCACCATTATGGGACGGTTCGGCACCGATTCGGTTCGGTACAAGTTCGGTTCGGGTTTTATGCCCACCCCTAACAGTAATAGATGCAGAGCAACTCAGATCACAACTTAATCCAAAATGCAGAGGCGAGAGATTTAGAGACCATAGGTCCATAGTTTAAGAGTTAAACATTTAGACTTGACAATTGTCAATCAGGATGTTTCGTTCCAACTTTTTGTTTATTTATTACTCCCTCCGTATTTAAAAGTTCCCTACACTTTCCTTTTTGAGATGTATTTAAAAGTTCCGTACACTTTCCCTACACTTTCCCTTTTTGGTAAATTTTTACTTTAAAAATACTCAATTGCCCTTACTTTTTCTACTTTTTATCCTTTCTTTTCTACTTTTTCACCTCCTCTCCTACTTTTTCTATACTATTCATTACCCTTACTATTCTACCTTAAATATTGTGTCATAACCAAACATAGTGATCGATCTTTGAAATACGGAAGGAGTATATTACTTAGTATTAGTTATCTTTGCTTTCTTTTGAGATTCATTATGCCTCTTAGCCAGTGCCGTTCCTACCTAAACTCAGGTCTGAGTCGAGCTTCATAAAATGAGCCCCATACATAGTGTTTGTTTATCATATAAATTCACTAAAATTGAATGGTTAAATATCACAAAAACACAATCTTTCAATAAAAGTCTTCCATTATCACAAAACGACATTGAATGTATTAAAAAAATTACTTAAATAAAACACTTCGAACAGTTTTAGATACATAATTTAGTGGAATCCTCAACAATATATACAATTATTTTTCTCTACAAATCAGCCCCCGAACTAACATAAAAGTGTAAATCACCCCTTATTTAAGAGGTTATGTCCGACTGTCGCCATTATATTTGGGGTGGTTTCGAGTGTAATTTTATGACAGAATTTTTTGAGCATCTTCTTTATTAAGTCTAGTTTGTCCATACCAAATTTCAGCTAAAAATTCAACCAATAAGGCAGTCAAATGATTTTCTAAAATATATTGCGTTGTTTAACTGTGCAGTTATCTTCAAAAATTCATTTGACTACCTTCCCGATTAAATTTTTTACTGAAATTCGGTATGGGTAAATTAGACTTAATGAAGAAAATTCTAAAAAAATTCATTAAAAAATTACACCGAGAACCGCCCCAAATGGCGACGGTCTTGAAAAATAAATAGGTATAATAATAGTAATGTTTAAAAAATTATGGGCCCCTAATTTTTTCAATTTTTTGGGGCCCTGAGGCTTGGGCCTCTCCAGCCTAACATAAGGCACGCGCTTGCTCTTAGCAGTGGCGGACACAGGGGGTGACAAAGGGAGACTGCTGCCCCTCCAAAAAAAATCTAGGTATATTTACCCGAAATTTTTAATGTATATGTATTTGTATGTATATTTTTGTACTGCCGCCCCTGCTACCGGAAATTCCTGCGTCCCCCGCCTCTTAGTAATTAGAAAATGCTCCGTATGAATTTGATTAGCAAAGTCGTAAGAAACAAACTAAAAAAGTACGGAGTACTTCGTATAGAAAACGCGACTTGATATGGAGTATTATGTTTTGTATTTATTAGGGGTGGTTCAGTACGGTATACCGAATATTTTATCGCATACCTTTACCATACCGTAAATTTCGATATGCAAAAATACATACCGTTACCATACCAAAATTTCGGTATACCTTGTTTCGGTATACCGAAGTTTCGGTACGGTAAGGTACGGTATCGGTAAATTACCATGATTTAATATAACAAATTATTATATGTCAAATGAAATAAAGAAAATCAGTGTCAATAGTGATATACTAAAATCATTAATGAAATTAATTATAAAATACCAATGAGATACCTATTCAACTTTTGACAAAAAAATATTATATATAAATATTTATAGATATTTCAACACATGATATATGAAGATAACAACACATTCTGCTAAAATAATTTAAACATAAATATAACTAAAATAACACCGATCTCCAACAAAAAGTATAAATAATTCAAGAAACATGGATATAAAGTCATTTATCCTTGAATTAATGTTGTGTTTCTAGTTATTTTTACAATTTTAAGGAAATTATTGACTTGGAATTACGGTATGACGGTATACCGGTATACCGTTTGTTTCCAAAATGTATACCGATACCATACCGAAGTAATTCGGTACGGTATCATACCGTACCAAAAGCGTCGGTATACCAAAGATTTCGGTAAATTCGGTATTTTTCGATATGGTAAGTCCGGTATACCAAAATTTCGGTATTTTCCCCCACCCCTAGTATTAATGGTGGGGCCTTGAGTTTTATTTTGCATTCAATATGTCAAGGCCTGTCCCGAGAGTTAGATGAATCTTCAATCAGTCTAAGTTTGGAATATATCTTGTATACTCCCTCCGGTTCACATTCTTCTTTACACTCACTATTCATTGGTCAACTTAAATCACTTTTAACATTTTACTTTATATATCAAATTTTTATCGAATTTAAATTTTCTTGATCAGACTTTGTAGCGGGTTTAATGTAGTTTATGAATATGTAAATTTTATTTACTAAAAACAATCTGAGTGTGAACAGGGATCGAGTTGCTACACCAATTTATGATCGAATGAACCGATGGATTATCTATAAATAATAGATTAATATAAAATTTATATTAAAATTCTTGGGAAAGAAAGAGTTGTGAAAAAATCGATGAAAATTAAAGGAAAGACTTGATACGTCCTGGTTTGATTTGTCTTACCTCTTATGTGAGTCGTACAAAATTTGCATATGTTCTTTAGTTAGTAATTAGGCCAATCACCTGATTCATTCTGGAAAGAAATCCAAGGGAGGCATACTGTAGATTCAAATCTTGTCCCAGCCTAATCACCTGAGGTCGTGGTGGAGAATGGGTGAAAATAACTCTCAAATAGAAATATACGGAGTAGTTGTTTCTTGGTGTACAAACGGGTCATATAGTAGCATACTTTGATGAAACCTGTATAATTTTATTCATGCAATTTTGCCATTCTTCATATCTTGTCAGTTGTCATAATACTTCTATTATGTATGAAGAACCAACCCTCATTTCGAAATACTAGTACGTAGTATTTATCACATTGTAACGATTATAATTAATGATGTCTTTTTTCTTGAGAATCATTGATGCCATCTATGCTTGCGCTCACACCAGGGGCGTAGCTAGGGGACGACAACCCTAGCCTCAGCCCAACCCAAATTTAAAAAAATGTTTATATTTTTAATGTAAAAAGTTTCGTGTAAAAAAATTCCAAAAATATTCTCTGTACTGACCCAGTGCCTTGGCTCACGCTACAACAACGCTTTTGATTTTTTCATTTTGTTTTGTATTATTCTAGGTCATTAGACAACTACATTATTGATACTTCTTCCGTTCTTTTTTAGTTGCAACAGTCAACATTCACACATTTGCCAACACATACATTTGACCGTAAGTATATCTTAATCTCTATTCTCTACTAATAAAAAAATATTGAAAATCAGATTCTGGAAATTTGTAATGAGATGAATTGAAAAATATTTTTTTTAAAAATAATTTCCATAAAATATTAATGTAAAATGTAGTCAAAGTAGATCATGTAAACATGCAAAAAGTCAACAAGTTGCGATTACAAAAAAACGGAGGATAATATATTTCTTAGATCAACATTTATTTTCTCTAATTTGTATCCCAACACGTAAAATTTGTTTAGTGAGTTTCACTAATTTAGTTCATTGTTAGAACATCTCCAATGGTTTCTTCTAGGGATTTGCTAGCAATTTTGAAGCTAGAACCTACCATTGGAGTATTGCTCTTCTTTTTGCTTGAGAAATTAAGCTAATTAGCCTAAATGGGCTACTAGCTTGAGCAAGGAAAATTATTAAATAAAGCATTGTAAATAATAAATGAAGAGGAGAATATTATATCTAACAATTGGAGTGTATTTTAATTTTGCTACAAATGCTTATGTGGCTAGTAAGTTAATTAAGCTATGAGGACAATTAGCTAACCGCTGGAGATGCTCTTAGTTACTCCATATTTGGTATTAATTGTTCTGAACAATTTATTTAGAGTGTTTGAAGTTACAACTCATTATAAAGGCTATAGATTTAGTTGCCTTGAATAAATTGATGCATGTGTTGATAAATGTGCAGTGAGGTCTCTTTAATAAATAGCATGGATCGGAGAAGGTAGTAATGAATTGCCAATAGCTGGAAACTGTTTGCTAATGGACGAGTGATGCATAGAGTAACTATATTCAGCTCAAGAGAAGTCTCGATATCCGAGTTCATAGTATTTTGATAAGTAACTTGTGTACTAATGACTTCAAGTGAGAAGACTTGCACGAAGCTTAGTAGTTTGAAAGCTAGAAAACTTTGTGCACTCCCCACTGCAAAAATAACACCCCTCATATTTAAAATATGGGTGAATATATCGATTTCAGTTTGGTTTGGCTAGCTTGGTTTGAAACGGATTGAAAGAATGACTACCAAACAAAAATCATACTTCATTTCAATTTGGTTCAACTGTCCCAAATTCAGCTCTACTTTGTTATTTTGTGATGATATAATAAGATTTTATTGATTTTTTAGTTCGGTTTGGTTTGATGTGTTTGGGAGAAATTCTACCAAACTCAAATCATTGAATATTATATGATTCAGTTTCGGTTTGATTTAGTTCAATTTGATCAATTTGAGCTGATATGTCCACCCCTAACTTAAATATAGCTGCTAATGCTCATAGGTGGAGATTTATAATGAACATGTTACAAATCTTCTTAATTGGTCTTTCATTTACAAATGTGATGGTAAACGTACTGCAAAATATACACATATTTTTCGGGAAAGAAACACATTGGACATTTATTGGATCGCATCGCGTGCGTGTCAAAACTAATACTCCGTATGTGTATGTGTGTAATGCAGTGATGGTTAACCAATGATACATATTTTTATTGGGGCACTCATTCTTAGTTACGCTTACATGTATCGATGTATAATAAATATACTCCATTTTTATTATATTTATCGATCACGTTCCCGGACTCCATTGAGGGCCCTATACATTTATTGATTCATATATTGAATTTTCTTATAACTAATATAGCTATTATGAAGTATATTAATTTAGATCGGGCATGGAAGCTGCATGGCCTCATTTTGGTAAGTCTGAGTGCAATTGGGATCTGAGGCGGTTAATCACATCCTTGTCTAATAGGAACGCTTTGCTTAGAACCTCTGGAAGAATCGGAGGATCGCTTCCAAAAAGTTCTCCAGGTATATAAATGTGATTTGGATTTTGGGTCCCAAAGGCAGCAAAGGCAACTGCATTGCCCCCTCCAGTATTGTACACGAAATGAATGAGCCCTCGCGGCACAACAAAAATGTCTCCGGGACGAAGTGTCTTGGCAAACAATTTGTTCCTCGAGTCAATGAACCCCGCATATAGGGTTCCCTCAAACACTACGATGACCTCGCTTCCTAGAGGATGGGTCTGTGGAGGACTAAGTCCATATGGCCCGAAGTCCACACGCCCTAGTGAAACACCCAATGTGTTTAGTCCTGGTAGGTTGTCCACTATTATTGGTGTGATCGTGTATCCTAACCGATTTGATGTATTTCGTGGGATGTTCAACCGGGCTTGTAAGTAGAAATCATCGGCAGTGACTTCCGTTATGTTCTTGCAAATCTTTCCATTCACAAACACTGCGCATGCATTATAAAAAAGAATATTATATTGAAATGCATTTTATTGACATAAAAAAGTATGTGGTGACAACTATTGAAGAAAGAAGGGCAAATTTTTTGCACTACGTATGAATAATATACCAATATATATTATGAGATATATGTGTAGGTGTTCACATGTGGGTGTACGTACTTATGTATATAAATTATAGGCCATAAAATTATTACATCACTTGCATCTAGCTATATTAGCCAGTTTGTTTAGAACACATGCTTTGATTTAAACAATACGTATTAGCCTATTCCCTCTCTAACTTAAGAATGTTGTCAACTTTGCTTTTCTTTTATCTTGACTAACATTCACACTTTCCCTTAACGTCAACCACACAGTTTTTGTTTTACTTGGTGTCATTCAAATTGGCCAAATTTTAAGGGTAGGGAGGAATATTGAAAAGTCATCATCATGTGCCTGTAGATGTGACTATGTGAGTGTAAACTTGTTATTGCGAAGCAATTATTCCATAGTTTTAAAAACAAGTCATCGCTTTGACTTTCCAAATGCCCCCCTCACCTTTGCTCGGGTGAAGGAAATCAATGGAAGGAATTCAAACATGGTATTGCAATATAATAAATTTGTATTTTGGGAAAACGAATCTCTCGTATATTATGGGTCTGGAAAATCATATTTCTTGGAGTTTCTTAGAGGAAAAACAAGTCATAGTGGTTGATTAAATGCATACCCTCAGCTTCAGAGTCCTTGACAGCCACACAAAAGTCCTGCAACATGTCGGGATCTGCACGAGCGAGAGGAGAAGCGCCTAAGGCTATAGCTCCCATTGCCAGAGCTATGATGAACAACATATTACGGCCCATAGTTAATTGGAGAGTATATGGTAGTAAGATCAGAAATGGCACCTTTATTTTTGCTATGAATTCTGATGGAAATGAGAAATAGATGGAGGGCTATTTATAGGTATGTTAAATGTAAACGCTAACCATAACTGGCTGACGAATTATCTATTTGTTGAAAATTGGTGCTTACACATCATGATTACAAAATGCTTAAGGTGAGATTATCAATTTCTGTTGTCCCAAAAAAGCTTGATTCGTGACTAATTTAATTTTGATTTGCCATATGGCATGTGCTGGTATTTCTATCATTTCATTATTTGCTCAGATTTCCGCATCAAGATTATTTTTCATACTCATCTCTGAGTCTGATTCGAGGTGCTGTAAAATCAAAATAACCAAGCCCTAACGCACCAATCCGGATAAATACAAACAGCTCCCACGGCAATTCTGTCTGGATGATGGTCTTCACTTGCATCCGAGTATAGTTACTACTCACTATTATTATTAGAAATAATTACATAAATATGATCAAAATAAAGATGGTTTACAAAAATATGATTCATTACTAGAATAGTAATGAAATCATAGCAATTCATGTTCAGTTTTGAACTTTAGTTACCACAGTACTACGTTATAGTAATGAATAGTCATATATTGATGTAAATAAGTTTTATTTTAGTAATATTCTTGTAAAAAACCCTTATTATTATGACTCTTATTATTACTAATATTACTATTATTATTACTATTATTATTATTATTACTATTATTCTTATTATTACTATTATTTTTATTACTATTATTACTATTGCTATTATTCTTATTATTATTCTTATTATTATTGTTTTATCATGATTATTATTATTATTAGGTTAAAGGGTCAAATAGGTACATGAACTAACTTAAAGTGCTCAATTAGCCCCTTATAGGAGGTTCTGTCCGGCCGTCGCCAATTGGGGGCGGTCCAGTTGAATTTTTTGATGATTTTTTTTAACATCTTCTTCATTAAGTCTAGTTTACCCATATCAAATTTCAGCTAAAAATTAAATCCAGAAGGCAGTCAATTGATTTTCCGAAATGCACTGCGCAGTTATCTTCAAAAAATCATTTGACTGCCTTCCTGATTGAATGTTTAGCTGAAATTTGGTATGAGTAAACTAGATTTAATGAAGAAGTTGCCCAAAAAATTTCATCAAAAAATTCCACCGGGAACCGCCCCAATTGGCGACGGCCGGGCAGAACCTCCTATATAAGGGGCTAATTGAACACTTTAAGTTAGTTCATGTACTTATTTGACTCTTTAGCCTTATTATTATTATTATTATTATTATTATCAATATTAAATAATTACATAATTATGACCAAAATAAAGATGATCAATTTACATGATCGATTAGCTACTAGAGTAGTAATGAAATCATAGTAATTCATGTTCAAGATTTGAACTAAAATTACCACAACACTACATTGTAGTAATGAATAGTCATACTTATGTAAATAAGTTTTATTTTAGTAATATTCTTATAAGAAACCCCTATTATCAATATCATCATCATCATCATTACTATTATTGTTACTACTACTACTATTATTACTACAACAACTACTACTACTATTATTATTATTACTATTATTATTATTATTAGTATTATTAGTATTAAGATACCCGATTTGACGATTCAATTTAATTAAAAACAACAACCATGCATGATTATACACGGATTCACCATCACCATTATATGCTTAATGCTTCAATCTCTTCACCATTGTTGAAGGTGTCCGGACGTCTGATATTTAGTTTTTACCATATCTATATCACATCAATATACGCACTGACCTCTCAATTTTGAGCCATATATAAAAATAAAAGATTGTACGAGAAGAGAAAAACACTAGCTACCATACCGTCTATAAATAAATTGCATTTTGTATGATAATATCTTGCTTGCTGGTACAAAAGTTGGTTCATCGATATATGGAGGGCTTAGACTTGATTCTGCTTCACTTTTTTTTTGATAAAAACAGGAATACATATCAAAGTCAATTTTGAGAAGCTGATCTCTCCCAATTTATTAAAAACCGCTTCTAGGAGCATTTTGAAGCATTCAGAAAAACTTTTTCTCTTTCACTCAAAGACCCCAATATCTGTTCCGCTGCCTGAAAGAACATAAACAATTTAAGGAAACAAATCCAAACATCCCCTATATATAGTTAAGTTTTAGCTTTATGTAGTTACGGAGTATGTTTTAGTACAAAAAATAGAAGTGCCCCCAATAAAATAATAACAATGCCCCCAGCCCTTATATCTACAAAGAAGTGAAAAACTTTAAGCAACTATTCAATTAGAGAATCTTCGTTTTTATGGGCTTCTCTTGATTAATCTTTTCCCTGTTTTATTTTTTGCATATATGATTTTTTTCTACTTAAATTTAGATAATGGTTGATTATAGTGTCTAAAATTTAATGGATGCTCCCTTTGTCTCTAATTAGTTATCTTGTTTTTGTCTTTTTGGCTTGTCACAAAAAATTAGTCTTATTTCTTTTTTTTTTCTGCAAAAATATTTAGTTCATACCATTTTATATTTCGTACTTGGATCTCGATTGCATCTTTTACTTTTTCAATCATTTTATTTATAAGTACTGTACGTCTGTACATACAAACCCAAATAAGATAGTTTATTCGGGGTATAGGAAGTAGCATTTAGTTAAATTTTAGTTTATGTGATTGTAATAGGTTCCATTTCCGGGATAAGACGTAATCCATGTTTGTACTAAGAGCCCGTTTTAATTCATGAACTTGTTTTTTGGCTTATCAGTCAACTTTTCCATCAAACATGTAACTTTTGGCTTTATTGTATAATAGTAAAAAAAGTAAGGTTAAAATTACTTATTTGATTGTATTGACTAAAGTTACGGGAAATTTTATGGAACCCTGTATGATTCCACTATGGAGTCACATAACATATGTGACTTCACACAAATCAATTATTTTTACAATGGGGTCCTCCACTATAAATCAAATATAAAAATGAATGGCCCTTGTGAAGCCACATAGACTGTATGATTTCATAGTGGAGTCATATAGGGGTTCCATAAAAGTTTTGCTGAAGTTACTGTTGAGGATCATTTAACTATTTTTTCATATAATATTTCTTAACATAAATAATAAAATATATTTTAAATTATAATTTCTTCATAAATTAGCAGAATCGGCCAATCCAGCCACAACAGCCAGAACTTTATAAATTTCAGTAGAATTAGTCAATGCGAACAATTTGACAGGCTCTAAACCTTTTAAATAATGCCCCCAATAACATTTTTTCCTGCATCCGCCACTATATATATATCCATTCTCCAAAAGCAGCCACAAATTAAACCTTCAACATGCATTCTCCTGGAAATATAAACATGCATAATCAAAAGGAAAAACTGTCAAATTAACCCTCGAAGTATGCCTAAAAAGTCAAGGGAAAACTATCAAATAAGCCCCCATACTATGCCGAAAAAGTCGATTAGGCCCTCGTACTTTACAAACACTCAATTAAGTCCTCGAAGTATTAAAAAACGTTCAATTAAGCCCTTTTGGTCGGTAAGTAACCGGTTTCCCGGTTAAACGGCGACGACGGCGATGATGTGCTCGAACCCCAGCAACGACGGCTGCCGGGAAACGAGTTACATTTAACCGGGAAACCGGTAATTACTGACCGAAAGGGCTTAATTGAACATTTTTTAATAGTTCAAGAACTTAATTGAGTGTTTGTAAAGTACAAGGGCCTAATCGACTTTTTCGGTATAGTACGGGGGCTTATTTCCCAAAAGTCAATTAAGCCTTTCAACTAAAGAAACGTTCAATTAAGTCCGTGAACTATACAAAAATGATCAATTTTCTAATTCACCCGGTAAAGAGTCGGTTAGCTGGTCACCTTACTGACATGTGGCATATTTTTATGTTTTTCCGTTTTCTTTTTCCTTTCTTTACCTCCTTTCTTTTTCCAAGCTACTTTCTTCTTCCGGACAACCCAACAACCAACTAAATCCCTCTTTATTCTTCTTTTCAGCCTGCTCCCCGTCCCGTTGTTCTCCTTCTTCAGCTCACCCCTCCTCCACGTTCAATCTTTTTCAGCCCGTCTCTCACTCTCTTCCCACCCTCCTCCTCCCTTCTTCCTCCTCCTCAGCCCGCCCCTCCCCACCCCTCTGTCTTCCTCTTCTTCATCCCGCCATACACGGCGGCGATGAACCAGCCCGTGAATGGAGACTGTAGAGGCCGGAAATTAGGGAAGAGGCCGATAAGGGAATAGCCAGAGAGAGAGACGGCCAAGACGGCTCCGCTGCAGTCGCATTCAGCTCCGGCCCAGCTGCAAGGGGTGAGATCAAGTCCAGACCATGAAGAAAATGTGCCGTTGAGCCAAGATACGAACATTTGAGAGCTCTTGTTAATTGGTCCCCTGGTAAGAAAGTGTTGATTCAACCCAGAAACGCTGAAAGGATCACAAAAACATAGAGGAAGAGGAAGCATACATATATGAGGGAGAAGAAATTTGGGGCAGAACCGAGGAAGAAGAAAGGGGGAAGAACGTTTGGTGGTGGGAAGAACAGAGGGAGAATTGGAGAAGAAGGGTGCATGGGCCAGAGGAAAAAGGGGAAAGTAAAAAAATGAAAAGTCAAAAATTGACACTTGGCTGCCACATCAGCTGTGTAACCGGTTGACCGAGAATAACCTGGCTAAATTAGAAAATTGAATGTTTTTATATTGTTAATGGATTTAATTGGGTGTTTCATTTGTTGGAGGGCTTAATTAACTTTTTTGGTATATTTTGAGGGTCAATTTGACAGTTTTCCCTTAATCAAAATAATTAGCCTGTAAAAAAGGCAATTACCAAAGACTTAATGAAAAAAGATGCATATTCCTGAAGGGGCCGAAGCCCCGAAGGGGAAAGAGTTCAAAACAATTAGCTTTTATCAGAACGGGTCTAGCAATTCAGCCAGCATCCGCTCACGGTCAACCAAGCCAACACACTCGATCTGGTGCACGAGATATCAATTTGGTCAAAATAATACGACCTCACTATCTCCGTTCCACTAACATTGGGACATGAAGAGCTCACACAATTATAAAGGAAAGTACGTTTATGTGATCGATATTGAATTTATAAAGTGATAATGATTTAAAACCATACAAACTTTACCAAATTTTGTACTCCGTATTAAACAATTTTAGTGAGATGAACCGAAAGGAAAGATGAGACAATTTCACTAGGACAGAGGGAGTATTAATTAATATAAATATTTAATAAATTAAATGAAACAATATATAACTATGGCCCTTTGGCCTGAATATTACTGAAAAAGGGATAAAAGACAAAAAATGATCTCTTTTACAAATCTATCTAATAATAATAATATAAAATATTATAATAGCTAATGATGGTAAAAGCATTTTAGGGATTGAAAAAATGTTGGTGTAATTAGGTAGCTTCGGTTGATACCATTTGTTTCACTATTTGTACTTTATGACACCAACTTAATTTTCCGTTTATGTTCCGTCTCACCCTGCCATCTGTATCGTCAACGCCTGTTTCACCGCCAGCTTCAATAGATTTCCCGTTTCATTCGTCCCTAAGCAGTAAGCGCCTCCCAAATCTGTTGTCACGCAGCTGCTCCCATACCATATTCCCATCGTTTCTCCCATGTGTGTTAATGTTCGAAGAGTTTTGTGATGCTGATTTTCAGCGAAATCCTTGTTTCTTTTAAGCAACCGTTAAGAATTTATCCAAAACCCTTTTTGAATTTTAGATTCCCATAAAAAAGTTTAAAAGAAAAGTACTACATCCGTCCCTTTTATATTGGGACGGAAGAGAGTGACACGGTTTTTAAAAAAAGTAGGTTTGTGTGGTTGATATTAATTGATAAAGTAAGAAAAAAGTAAAAACAATTTTGAGCCACACAAATTTTACCAAATATGGTATGAGACAATATTAGTGGGACTTCCCAAAAAAGTAAAACGAGACAATATAAATGGAACGGAGCCCGAGAGTATGAGTTTACACGACCATTTTTATACACCTGAAACGATGGGTTTCCAAGACCGTGGGTCAGGTCACGCTAGATAACAAAATTCAACCGTTTAATGTGGTTTGGTCCAAACATATACTCCCTCCGTAACATATATATGTTCCCATTTGAAAAGCAGGTAGATTAAGAATAGTGAAAGGAGATATAAATTATTGAGGGTATGATGGGAAGATAGTGAAATAATGTGTTGGAATGAAGTATAAATCCAAAAAAAGTAGGTGTAATAGTGTATTATTTTTAAAGTTATTGAGGGTATGATTAGAAGATTATGAAATGGGAAGGTATGAATGTTACATCCAAAAAAGAAAAGTGAGAAGATATAAATGTTACGGAGGGAGTAATAAGTATTCTAATTAAAGGTAAGACATTCCTACGATACTAAGTAGTTAAATTGCTATTTGGTATCAACTCGGTCAAGGGCCGAGTAGCGAGTAGGACCGAGCATTCGGGATTACTCGCTAATTATTTGGCCCTATATTAATTAGTAATTTCAAAAATATTAATGTCTGAAATTACACTAATATATTATTCTTATAAGCCTCATTTATGAATAAAATAATAATAATAATAATAATAATAGTAATAATAATAATAATAATAATCCTAAATTCCTAATGAAGAAGAAGTGAGAAAGAAGATAGTGGAGAAAAACTTGTCGAGAGATCGGAAACCACTGCTGGAATGAGTCGATGTTTGAAATACTTTTATAAACCTAAACTTTTTAATGTTAATTTTCATTTTTAAAATACGTACTACTCATTATTTATAAATTCCATAGTATCCCTCTTTAATTAAAACTTTTCAAATTCAACCAAAAATATATTTTAAGACTCGCCGAGTCAGAAATTTCCCCATGTCCAGCAACTCGCCGAGTACTCTGCGAGTAACTTGGAAAAGCAAGGCGGGCCAAGTCGGATTGCTAAACGTAACAGTCACCTCCCGAGTTGCAAGTACTCACCGAGTAGATAACACAACTACGATGACATGGTAGAACATGGGATAAGGGCCAAAAATGCCATTAAGGTTTTTAATGAAACTCGGATTGGACACTTAGGTTATTAGTAGACCAAATTAACACATATTGAAGCTTTTGGGTTGATTTTTAGCCATCCATTAACTTTTCCCCCTAAACGGGCGTTTCCCCTGCTAACAAACGCCACTCCCTGCGACTAAACATCACAACCTAAAGACGAAGGAAAACTGAAAGATGGCCATCGGCGAGCAGCAAGGGAGACAGCCAGTGTTGGCGGAGTGTGGTAATCAGAATGGCCGCGTCGACGACCTCATCCTGGCGGCGCTTATTAGGAAAGAGACAGTCGCCGCCAACTCCTCTTCGTCTTCTTCAACCACCGCAGCTCGCTTCCTTCCGCCCGGCCACATTCATTTCTCGATGGGCTCTGTATCTCGCCGGAGGACCATCGATCACCACCACTTGCATAGATTTTTCTTATTTCCCTTCGAACTCCGCTACCACCACCGCAGCTTTGTGTTGCTCTTCTGCAGCCACACCAACCTCATTTACTTCGGAGTTCACTTCTATTATTATCGACGGCGAGAAACTTTCAAAAGAAATCAGAGACGAAATTAGTGCTGAGATAACTAAGATGAAGATTCTATAGGGCTCATTCCTGGTGTGGCAGTCATTCTGGTTGGCGACAGGAAGGATTCTGCAACTTATGTTCGCAACAAGAAAAAGGCATGTCAAGATGTGGGGATCAGTTCCTATGAGGTGCGATTACATTAAGATTCAACAGAAGAGGAAGTTCTTAAGCATATATCCAGATTCAACGATAATCCATCCATCCATGGTATTCTTGTCCAGTTGCCTCTACCTTTGCATATGATGTCTGCATAATAGGTGGGTGATGAGAATTAGGGTTCTTGTGTCTGTGTTTATTGGGGTGTGGTTTAATAGCAGGGAAAAGGCGTCTTGCAGGGAAACGCCCGTTTAGGGAAAGTTAGTGGATGGCTAAAAATCAAGGCAAAAGCTTTAATATGTGTTTATTTGGTCTAGTAAAAAGCTAAGTGTCCGATCCGAGATTCATTAAAAACGTTAGTGTTATTTTTGGTCCTTCTCCCGTAGAACATTATAGCCAGCAACATGTCTGATGGCATTACTTTGCAAGGGAAAAATTAATTCGGTTAATTCTAAGGCAATAATTACTTGGTTATTTTACTTGGTTTACACCTCGCAACAGGAAAAATTTATTAAAGATCAAGTCAAATAGTTTGATATAATTCATACCGAGAACTTATGTTTTATTTTGAAACTCAAGTGTTGCTCGCTTCATTGCTATTGTGGATGGAAATAATTTTTATTTTACAAGCTTCTATGACATATAGCCATATAGTTACCTTTGTATGTGTAGGATAAATTTGAAAATGTTAAATCTGTTTCACAATCACATATTTAAAGAAATCACATTCTTTAGAAGTGGTTTACCACTGCAGTATGGAGTAAATCACTTCTAAAACATTTAGAAGTTAACCCCATTATTATCCTTGCCTTGGATTTTGTATTTCCTTCAAAAAATCTTATTCACCACTCTTGTGACTGAGATCACAGTAAAATAATAACCAAATGTTTATATCACACAAGTTAATTGGGCACTACTAGCCGGGCATATGGATAGATGATGCACACAAAACCCTGTGTTCAGTTCAAGAGATGAACACTCTTATGTGAGATTAGTTTTTATGAGTCACTTAAGAATTGGAAATTGCAAGTGAGAAAACTCGCACCATGGTGAGATTATGGAGCTAGAAAACACCCTTGATATTTAAAGTGCAGCCGTCATTTCATTCATATCATGGAGATTTATAACAAAATGTTACCCGTCTTCTTGGTCGATCTCTCATCCATAAATTTGATGGTAAAATTGTAAACTTAGTTGAATAGAAGCAAACATATTGAATACTACATATAATACTTAATAAATTGCTACTTCCTCTCAAAATATAGAAAACATTATGTGGCACATAAATAAATTTTATATTTCTCTTGATAAGTATTCACTATACTCACAGATTCATGTGAAGGTCCTAGAATAGGTCAAATAGGAACTAGCGATACTTTGAGAAATACTAGACATTTGCTCTTATTTTTATGTTTTTTCATTATAAAATTAGGGAAATAAGGTCTAGCGCCTTTGCATACTTGTTATTTTGTTTGTGGGTCCTCTTTCATGATGAAAGAAATTTTAAAAGTGTATTCTTTGATTCTTATAAATGTTAATGATGTGAGTTTTTTCGCACTTAAAATAGATCGTAATATAGTGGTGTAAGTACGAGTATCGTCTATACATGGACGGACAAAAGGGAATCAAGAATTAATTAAATTCAGCAATTAAAAGAAATAAATACAATAAATGCGTCGTGCGAGATATGATTGGTATGAAAAATTAAAATGCAACTAAACGATTAAAATAAATGGGTTCTCTCTAATTAATGACGAAGGGAACAATGATTGATTTCGAGGTAACCAGATTTCTGACAGATCAGGCCTAATTACATGAAATTAATTCAATTGAGCCTAGCTAATCATTACTAAGTTCTTACCGCTCTCGCGGCGTAGAGTACAATAATTTAGGGGACCAGACTAATCTCTCATGCGACAGGATCCTAAATTATTGCCAAGACGAGCGAGCTTACGGCCCATTAATCGCTACTAATCTCTTAGCGAACGATTAAGTGTGTGTGAAGGTGTCCTAGAATAAACTAGATCTCTCTTAATTTATTCTACAAGCAATTGTAATTCTAGCGCGCGTTCTAGGTTACAAGAGATATCAGTTAAATTATTCAAACACAAATTAAACGGCATTCATGAAATTAATCCATCAAGAAACTAGCCATACATCATGATCAACCCCTTCATCAATTCCAATCCCTAATTAAACTACTCACAATTCATAATTGAAGAATCAATAGAATAGGGAAGAATAGAATTAATTGTCATTAATTAAAAAGACGGAACTTACAAAGAATACCAAAAGATTGATGAACAAGGCTGAAAAGCCCTCTAAAATTCGTGCTAGGCACTCTCTCTAAGCTTCCCCTTTGAAAACGGGGGTTTACAGGCTGTTTAAATAGAAAAATCGGGTGACATTTGAGCTGAATTAGGATTTTCGGAGTCAGGCACGATCGTGCCTTCGATCGTGACTCCGAAGCAAAAACGCGCATTTTGGGCAGGCACGATCGTGCCTCCCTCCAGGCACGATCGTGCCTGGCTGGCAGTAAATCCGCGGTGATTTTCTCTTCAGGTACGATCGTGTCGGACTTTGAGGGCACGATCGTGCCTACTTAACTTCCGAATTTGGAAATGCTTTCTTCATGAAAGTTGTATATAATGAAGTCCTCTATTCACCCCAATTTGCTGAATGTGATTTGAATCATCCAATCAAGAGATATGATCAAAACGGTGGAAGGTATCATTCTGAAATCGCAGCAGAGATCATCTGACTTCATCGTCTGTTTTCACCTTCTTTCTCTCAGATTCTCGCAAAGGTGTCTTCATATGATTTGTAGCACTTGAAGTTGGCTTTCATATGGAACTTGAAGCGTGTCGATTTGTTATTTCTACAAAGAGATATGCTTGAACGATTGAGAGAAGGTCATCCTGATCGTCGTTTTCAAGCTTCATTCATCTTCTTTTGATCCCGAAGCCAATCCTAGAGCTCTTTTGTCATCAAATCTTCATAGTGAACCTCCCGGTGACCTCCAAAGCTCTCAAATAACTCTCGAATACATCTCGAATCATCCCGATTGCTCCTCAAGCGCCGGTGCCGAACTCTAAATTCCCGATTTTGACTCCAAATGACACAAAACTCGAACCAACGCCCGGTAAACATAACTTGAGCTAAAGTTGAGACTAGCAACACCTTAAAGCTAGGAAAACCATTAAAAGTCGATCTCAACATGCATCAAATGCGTGTCTAAATACAGACTTATCAAATTCCCCCACACTTGAGCCTTTGCTTGTCCTCAAGCAAACTGAACAACGGGACTTACGATAATCCCACACGGAATCAAAACAATTAACATGCACACATAGTTAAAGGGATATTCACAGTATAGGCAGAGTAAACCAAGAAAATTCTTCACTAAACTACATATTTTTACTCTTAGCTAAAATATTTGACAAATTTATTCACAACATCCTCAAAGTAATGACAGCGTACACAAATAAACTAGCTACCGATCAGAAGGACTTGTGAAAATGGTGATGAAGGGTGAATGGTAACAATAATAGTCCCTTTGTTTTGAGAGATTGGAATATTCTAACAAAGACTCAATGTATTCACGAACTTCATGGTTATTCTTAGGATCAAGGAACTTAGTAGGCCACAATTTAGGAACAATCCTTTAAACCTATGCAAAGAGTAGACATGGTGTACAACTAAGCTAAACCGTCTCGACACATTTTTGCTTTGACGTATACTTGAAGTACGCGGAGGACTAAAGCTAAATTTTTATAATAGCCTCCAAGTTCATTAATTATGTTTAGTTTTCCTTGTCATGTTGGCACGAGAACGCCGTTTCTTTCGAAAGATACCCAAGTCTCATCTTACACTTTTTGACAGGGGCTCCCATTCCCTTTTTCGCAAAGTAAGAGGTCTAGCTATATTAATTTTTCACCTTTCGGATTCTCACTAGACATTACCCCATTCTAATCTCGGCCTCACCAAGGAAAAATAGCAATTTAAGTTCATTAATTTAAAAGTGAATCCATGCCAACAATGCAATCCTTGAAAGTATCAAATTCCTAAAAAGTGACTGCTCTTACCCCATTTGGAGCATAGGAACAGTGCCAAAAATGGCTCCTACACAAAATCCCCTAAACTTAGCAAATTAATCCCCTAATTCCCTAAACATCAAAACTATGTCAGAAATATTCACGGGTAAGGAACACAGGTCATTTGGCTATGAAGCTCAATTAATTGGGTAACAAAGAACAGTCACACTCAAAATGGCTTCTCCTAAAGGGACTTATTCAGGTCAAATGGGAACTTTGTTAATTCATTCAATGAGTGACTAATGCCTTCATCCTTTCAACAACCAGATTATAGTGAAAGCAATTTAAGCCTAAACACTTCAAGGACATTCTAAAAGCATAATCAAAACGCTAGCTAGCTCACAAAGACACAGTTTAAAGAAAAATTTTCAAAAATTTTGACATGAATTTTCTATGAATATACAACTAACACATGCACATGCTAACTCTAAAAATCACATGTAGCAACTACTGCCCGAATGCCCAATTCACTCCCCCACACTTAAACTTTGGCATCGTCCTCGATGACCAAAAATGCACTATGCACAAGGGGGTAAAGAGGATAGGGTCACGCGTGCTCAACTCAACTCAAGTCAATATTTACAAAACAGACGATTATAAAAGTTGCAGAAACTTTCCTAAGGCAGTGGTCGGTGTGGAACTAAACTGAGTCAATGTAATCCTCGGCACATCATCCCCAAAGCAAGACCCTGAGCTGCAAAAACAAAACACACAAAACAGACAAAACAAAAAATAGAAAACACCCTGTTTTGTTTTTTTGTTTTTTTGGGGGGGTTTCTTGAAAGCAAACAAACAAACAATAAAAAAATGCAGAAATAAGCTTGGGTTGCCTCCCAAGAAGCGCTATTTTTAACGTCGTTTGCCCGACGCAACTTCCTCATAGGCTCTCAAATAGCACAGACATCAGTGGTGCACTAATAGTCAACATCTCCATCTTCCTCTCAACAAATGCCATTAGATGGCGCAGATTTTTAAATTCTTGAAAACACGTAGGAAGTGCATGGTCTTCATAACCCTTATCAGCACAGAAGTGAAGTATGAACTTCTCATCCTTATGTTCAAAGTGTATCACAAACGCCTCCTTTCCTCGCTCGAATGTACCATGAAAATTCTGAGCACCTCCTCTTGACTCGCTATCACTCTCCAAGAATGCATCCCAATTTGTTTTCTCACTCTTCTTATTAATATCCTCCAAGAAATTGTGGAGCGACACTTCTTCGTCATGAAGATCATCTACCTTACTACCACTCTCTTGGAGCTCGTGATTATCATCTCTCAACTCATCTTCAATACCCAATCTTACTTCAGCGGCTGCATCAACGTCATGACTGATCTGCCCCTTGCCCTCCTCAGGTGTTAAGACTAATGGCAAATCAAACGGCTTGGGGGTTTCTGTATGAAA